GTCTCTTAGTTGGTTGTTTCTGTTGGGGAAAAAAACATGGTGTTAAACTTGTTATAGCTATTCACTACTGCAAGTACAGTCCATGTATGACCCCGCAGCACAGCTCTAACCAGTTTGAATTAATTACGGTTGATTTGAGAGGAGGGTTAAAAACCAGAGAGCTGTAGAAAAAACCCTTGGAGTCAGAAAGAGAACCAACCAACTCAGCTGACATGGGACACCTGGGATTCAAACCCCAGACCTCAGAGGTGAGAGGGGAGCATTTTACCACCCCCCCCCCCCCCCCCCCGGTCCCCGGATCGCAGTAAGGGACATTGTAGTAAGGGACTGGTCATTATTTATCTGGGGGGGGGGGGTCTGGGGGCTGGTGCAATATTAAATATGCTATGCTTGATTTTTGCTGACCTCCCCTTCTCCTTTAAGCATGATTTTGCTGATTTTTGCTTAAACCCATGCATAAAAAATGCTGACCCCCACCCCCTATTTGCACCAGCCCCTCCCCACCCCCTCTCGATAAATAATGATCAGTCCCTAAAGACACTTTAATTGTAGACATTTTTACATTAGATTACATGACATCATAGTTGCATAGTTCAAGGTCCATGGATGAATATATATGTAGGTATGGACATTACCTCAAGTCAAGAAACTGAAGTTTTACAAAACATGACACATCGTCAGACAAAGTGGCCAGTCTGTTGAATCCCATGTTGAGATCAGAAAGAGATCCACTTAGTTCAACCATCCTGCAATAAAATAATTAAATGAAGAGACACTAGATGAGGTTAAGCTTAAATTGCAATGTTGGGTGAAAAGCAAAACTTATTGAAGGTAATGTCAAAACAAACTGAGAACTGTCAGAACAAACTGAATGTCAATTAATAAGAACTGAGGATTCAACATCATATTTTGATTAGCATCTCCCATGATTCTGCCAAGAGAAGCCATGAAATATGAATTTTTCATTCTTTAAACTTATTGTAATTAATTCTACTAGTTGAACTCATGGTGGAATTCTAGTTCAATAAACACAAGAAATCTACATTTTACTCAGCCCCTGCCGGGAAAATGATAACCAATAATAGTTGACTCATAATCCCTTTCGGGAATGCAGACAAGGTCACAGGTGTTCTTGATGAGAGTAAGAAGCWGAARCACAAGCCATCCCAGCTATTCTTGGATCTTGGAATTATCTACAGTGTATCTCCTATTGTTTATTGCCTATTGACATTTGTTTTGACTCTGGAAACTTTTTTTGTAATAGTTATAATAATTATTTATTTACCCATGAGGTAGCTGTGTCAACAAATTCTTGCTCAAGTCTATTGTATTCACTTTTGAAGTAACTGCTCCTCGGATCACTTCCTCTGGAATCTCAGCAAACTTCTTGCCACTGTGAAAACAAAACAATACAACACGATTCAATTTTTTAAAGATACTGGTAGAAAATTTCAATTTTGGTGATGAGGTTTAGAGTGGGCATAAGTCGACTTTATCAAGTTTGACAAATTATTGCATACTCTAGCTTAAAAGTGCAGTCCAATGCAAATCACAAACAGAGTT